TTGTCGTGCGTCGATTTTTCTCACGTCAATATTCCTTTTTCCACGACGCATGGAGGGGAGGAGGAATACCATACAAAATCTGCTGATCGTTGAATCGTGCGTGAGTTATGAGAGAGAATATTGAGGACAGATCTGGGCGGTTGATTCGGATGTGGTTGGTTTTGTGTGTATAATTTTTGGGGTGCATTTAGAATGGCTATCTCAGCGGGGGACGCTTTTCTGGATATATATATATATATGTTTGGTGGCCTAGTAAACTGATTTGCTACATGTTCGGCGCATGCAAGTTGTTTTTTCTGCATAGACAGCTCAACACCGCATGAGAAGGGAACTATGGATGGTCTAATGTAGCGTTGGGCTTCCTCGGCTAAAATAAATCGATAATGCTATAAATAGGATATCCGACGCCAGCGACTCTCTCCAGATGGACGTGTGGTGTAATGTGCACCACAACTTGTACTCCCTCCGTCTCTTATTCTCATCCAGGGACCGCCGCGCTCACTTTTCCTCCCCTTCTAACCTCTCCTCGCCTCCTTCCGCTCGTTGCTATGCCTTTACCTGCGCTCGCTCGCTTTGGCCTCGCCCTCGGTGAGCCAAGGCGGTCTTTGGTGGCATTGGTGGTGGTGGTGCTCGCGCTCGTTCTTTGGTGCTAGAGTCTTTGGTGGTGTTAAGTGCCGTCGGCTCCGACCACAGCGACTAGAATCGATCGGCCTAAGCTTCCCCTCCCCTATGTTGCAAATATATATTTCATGTGTTTCGGTCATTTCTAAAGGTATGTTGCAGTTTGTTTCTTATAGATGTTGCAAAAGTAGATCGGGGATGTTGCACATGTTGCATATGTTACAATTGTTTCAGAGGCATGTTGCAAGCGTTTGTTTAAAATATTTTCATCTGTTCCACACGTGTGTTTCTAGCGTTTTGATCCGGATGTTTGCACATGTTTCACACATATGTTGCAACAACATGTTTCATATGTTTCATCTGTTTCAGACGTATGTTGCAAGTGTTCTATCTGGATGTTGCATATGTTGTAAATATATGTCCCAAATGTTTTATCTGTTTTAGTCATATGTTGCAATTGTTTCATCCATTTCACTAGCAAGGAAGAAAGAGCTAGTGAGGAAGAGAGATCTACTTTTGCAACACTCAGATGAAATAATTGCAACATACAACTAAAACAGATAAAACATTTAGAACATACACTTGCAACATAGTCATTGTAACATATGCAACATCCAGATAAAACACTTGCAACATACGTCTAAAATAGATGAAACATATGGAACATGTTGTTGCAACATATGTGTGAAACATATGCGAACATCCGGATCAAAACGCTTGAATCATACGTCTGGAACAGATGAAACATTTCGAACAAACGCTTTTTGAACAAACGCTTGTAGCATGCCTTTGAAACACTTGTAATATATACAACATGTGCAACATTCCCGATCTACTTTTGCAATATCTATAAGAAACAATTGCAACATACCTTTGAAACACCTAAAACATATATATGCAACATAGGGGAGGGAAAACCTAGGCCGGTCGATTCTAGCCGTCAGGGTCGGAGCCGGCGGGGCACGAACACCACCAACACCTAGCACCAGCGGCGCACGCGACCACCACCACCAGCTAGTGCCACCAGCACCGGCTTTGGCTCAGCATGGCGGGTGGTGCGTGCTACGAGAGGGAGCGGGCAGCGCGGCGCACAACCAAAGTGAGGAGCAAGGTGTGGGTGGGGCGCGTGATGGGAGGGGGAAAGGAGCGAGCAGCACAAGTAGGGCACGCGACAGCGCAAGAGCGAGGAGTGAGCGAGCTGCGCAAAGTCAAGGCGCGGTGGGAGAAGGCCGAGCGGAGTGAGCGAGCGGTGTTTGGATGAGAATAAGAGACGGAGGGAGTCAAAGTTGTGGTGCACGTCACACCACATGTCCATCCAAAGGGAGTCGCTGGCGTCGGATGTCCTCTTTGTAGCATTATCATTTCACTATATTTTCCTCCATTTATTATTTTTAATTTGTTTTCCTTTCTATTTTGTTTATTTTCCATTTTAATTTATTCATTTTTATTATTATCTTAATTTCATGTTATATTTTTTTAGCTTTTTTAGTTGGTGAATTTACTTTTTAACAACATATGTTATTTTATTTTTTCTTTTAGTTTAGTTTTGTGTCTATTGTCTTAAACTACTAAAAAATGTCATTTTGTTATTCACACATTATCTAAGAGATGCTCCATGATGTATTTTACTTCGTTCCCACATTACCCATGAGATATTCCATGTTGTATTTTGGATTATTCCCATGCTATTCATGAGATTTTATATCTTGTGTTTTGGGTTGTTGTCATATTATTCATGAGATGTCCCATAGTGTGTTTGTGATTGTTCCCATATTATTATCTATGAGACATTCAATAATGTATTTTCGATTGATCCCCTAGTATTAACTAGATGTCCCATTGTGTGCTTTGAATTATTTCTATATTATCCAAGATTTGAATTTGTATTCCTTATTATTCCCATGGACACTATTCCACGATGACCCATAGCCTTTTGTATCATTCTCATATTATTGATGAGATATTTCATGGTGTGCTATTTCTTATTGTTCTTGTAGTGTTTCATGGTGTCTTTTTTATCGTTTGCATAATATTCATTAGATGTTTGATATATTTCTTGAGATGCTTTAAGATGTATTTTAGATTTTTTTTCCAAAAGTGTATTCATGTTTCTAGTGAATTTTGCAACGTTTCTATAGTACCCATGAGATCTTCCATGGTATATTTCGAGTTGTTCACGTAGTATCCATGTGATGTTCTATGATGTATCTTTGATTGTTCACACAATACCCATAAGATGACCTATGTTGTATTTCAGGTTGTTTGTATATTATTCATGGGGTGTTTGACAATATGTTTTAATTGTTCCTACAATACTCATGAGATGTTCTCTTATTTCTACTAAACACAAATGTTAGGGAATAGCATTCACCTTAACCTACTATTTTGTTCTCTTAAATTTAAAACATTAATCTCGAGAACCTGAACATTTTTCTTGTGAAGGTAGATCATTCTTCCTTAAAGAATATTATCCCTGCTCAATAAAAAGAAAGTGTTCCATTTTCTTGAGAAAGAATGTTCTTCAACAATATGTTATGTAAAATAAACACAATCATCATATTGTTTTGAAGGATTTATTGTAAGGAATACAAGGGTGAAATCAGAACTTAATTTGGATGTTTAGTTTGAAAACTATTGTTTTTCAGTTTCGTACAAAACCCCAACATCAACAAATTTGTCGTCACTAGTCAATCCACTCATGAGCAACAAAGAGCCAGTTTGGTAGAACACCCCAAAACAACTTCTAGGCTGAATCCAGGAGGCTCTACCAAATACTTTCTAACAAAGAAGTGATTATATGTTGATTCTGTTCACTTATTATCTAAAATAAATTAGGATGTTGAAAGCTAGAAAAAATTAGCTTCTTATGATTTACTCCACACAGAGAACGATTTTTTACATAGAGTTTATTCTAAAGAAGAATCATTTCTTACAAAGAATTACGAGTCGAAGAGTCTCTACCAAATAAGCCCCATGATGCTAGGGTGGTCAGGCACTATAAACCTTGAGATGGATGTGGTACGCTGTTTTACTGGACCTTTTTTTTTGTGTTATTTGGGATCGCTTTTACCCAATTCTTAATTTTTTTCCTTAGGGTGGGTATGGTACCAACTCTAGCTAAAACAACTCTGACACTAGCTTCTTTGGTTGAGTAGCTTTGTTTGGCTCCGCAAGAATATTTGATAAAATAGCTTCTCATGATAGATAAAAGGATAAAATATCCATAATACCCTTCTCTTTTTTCTTCCTTTATTTGCTTTTTCTCTTATCTCTCATTTCTTTCCTTCTCTCTCTCTCTCTCCCTTATCCCATTCACCACCACGCTAGTCACCCCTCCTCTCCCGCTCCATCTCCAACCGCCGCGCCTCCCCTACCGTTGTGATGTATCCTCAGCTACAGCTCCTCCTCGGCCGCAACTCCTCTGCCACCCCCTCCCCCACGTGAAGCTCCTCTACTGCCATCCTTGCCGCCGCACATGCGTGCTTGCACGCCTGTGCGGTCTGATTGTGCTGGCCGATGGCGCACTAAGGAGGAGAACAGCATCGGGCCCAAGCTTGATTTTTAAGCTCCTCCAGCTCCCACAGACCTCTCTCAGCATGATTTGAGGAGCTTCTTCCACGGAGCTATTTGTCGCACCCGATTGGTAGCATCATATGTGAAGCCACGTTTGGTAACATCATATGTGAAGCTGCTTTGAGAACTGTAAAAAAAAACTCTACCAAACACGCCTTTACTTTTACCTTTTTTTCCTCTCTCCCTGAAACTTCAACTTGCGTCTTAATAATCTGGGATTCCTCACGGCTTAAGCTCGACAGGTGATTGAAGCGGCAGGAAACTTTACATGCAGCGCTACTAGATGCGTGGGATCAATGAATGTTATTGGACGTTTATATTTACTCTTATATATATTTGAAAGATTAATTAGTTCATTACACGCAACTCGATCAGACATGAGTTGAAAATCACCCCATTGTACTTTGTTCAACCACAGCCGAGCTCAGCAATATTCCACTCTGCCTCTCGCCCCCCTCCACCAAAAAAGAAAGGAAAAAAAACTTAGGGAGAAAGGAAGAGAGGAAAACAAAACACAGCTAAAATTGAAGGTGCGCTGTTTGATGAAATATGAGGGCTTGAGTTAAGCTGATATAAATGGCTCCGTGACTGACTCGACTCAAAGAAAAGCATGCATCAGCACTGTTCTATACGTGATGAAATTAATAACTGGCTAGTACACTATTATGATCTATGGAGTAGTTTGATCCTTCCTATCCTATCTTACCTATTGACCGAGACAGAACCTAAAACAGTGAAGGAGAGAAAAAGCTAGCTAGGCTACAAGAAATACATACAGCAACACTTGAACGGGCACCTAACTAAGCTTAGTTGTGTTTTTTAGGGTGAGGCCTGGGTCCGTATCTCGCGACCACCACTACCTTCTCGGCAGAGGCGGGACTGTTGTTTCCTCCGCGTCCGAAGCTTGGTTGTTTAGCCCTTCGTCCAACCACGCCTGCTTCTCCCGTTGATCCCGGCTCCATGTGCACGGTTTCAGTGCTGCCCTTGGTGTGCTCCACGCCGTGCTTCCTCGTCGCTTGTAATACTTCCTCTGTCGACGGATGCTCGCCGGTCGACATGGACGGGCTCCTCACTGAAATGATAAATAGGCAGCAGATCGGATGAATAAACACAGCAATACACTTTAGGCCGGTCGACAAAAAAAAAAAAAGAAAAAAGAGCAAACACCAGCTACACATTAACTTCAAAGTTCAAACATGCATATATAGCAAAACAATGCAAAGATGATATAACTTACCCCGGCGAGCATGAGCAACGGAATGGTCAAGTGCGAGCAAGAAGATGGCCACGATGACCATGAGAACAGTTGAAGAGGCCCTTCTGCAACCCATGCCGATCCGTGTATGGACACCACTACAACAACTCCAAATTCCAAATTGAAGTCACCCTCAAGCTTAATGAAAATGAGGTGAGGGGGCGATGTAGGATGGTCTTTATAGAAGGGAGGAGCCACGATGCCTTTTTGTTATGTTATATAGTCAGGCAGTCAGCTCGAGATCGATTGGTGGTCAAAGCTGAAGCTCGCGAGATCTCTTACACCACTTATATATATAAAACATCTGTGCCCGTACTGACGTCCAAGCGTTCTTTAACAAGTCCGAGGCGTTTCTTTGCACCGCACTTGTACCATGACTCCATGAGGCACCACGCCACGCACGGTGCACGCACTGGCGCGGCATGTGTGGACTCTGTGCGCCCGCGTGCGCGGCCTTCCGCCGGGTGGTGGCCAGGCTTCGGGAGTAGAGCTCCCTGTTGGCTGGGCGCCCTGCCAAATTGCTGATACCACGGGCGAGACGGTGCGGGCAGCGTGACTGTGCGTACGTACACCAGGCACGTCTACAGGGAGTCAGCAGGTGCCCGATTAATAAAAAGCCGTCTCAGTTTCAAAAAATAAAAAATAAAAAGCCGTCTCGCATCAGGGTCGTTAAGGACCAAGATCGCCCTAAGCTACTAAGGAGGGTTTTAAAATTGACAGTCAGGAATCGCGCAGAAAGCGCAGTTGATCGACAGTCCGCCGGTTCCCGGATCCCAACAAGACCAAGAAAAATGAGGCCACTTTTATTACACAAAGGATCGGCACGAAGGTCTTCTTGAATCGCCGCAGCTCAGTAAGATTTTGACCAAACCCCGCTGCTCGAGCGAGCATTTATATTTCATAGAACCCCAGAAAGGAATCCTTGTACAAACGGCATACGAAGTACTCCAGGTCTGAACATGCTGAGAATTTATCTCTATGAAAAGCAGAACCCTGACAATCACGAAGGGAAGCCAGTCTATTGGGGTTCAAAAACCCTCGGATGCCGTATTTTGAAAATTCGGATACCTGAAGACTTTCATTTTTATTTAGCAATTAATGTTCAATCATGGATTAATTAGGCTCAAAACGTTCGTCTCGTAATTTTCAACCAAACTATGCAATTAGTTTTTTTTCATCTACATTTAATGCTCCATGCACGTATCGCAAGATTCGATGTGATAGCTACTGTAACACTTTTTAAAAAAAGTTTTTGAACTAAACGAGGATCTACCAGCCACGCGTTTGTGCTTTTGCCTATTAACTATAAGGTCAAACGGGAAAAGTTACTGCAATGACGACGACGATAGGAGCTGGAAGAGACGCAGACCAAATTTCAGTTCTTTTTGGGCAGCACGAACTTGAAACCTTCCTTCACCTGCATGTGAGGTAAACCTGTCGTTGGATATTCGAATCCATTCCCCAAATTCATACCCGTCTAATTCGGGTCGGGTATGGGTAAATCTCCTGCTACCCGATGGATTAAGGGTAGGGTACGGATATCCCCGTTACCCATAATCCCATCTCCTTCTGGCACCAGCAGTAGGTGGAAGGTGGCCCGGCCGTGGAGCGGGCTGGAGGTTCGTCGCCGGCGTCGCCGCGGCCGCGAATACCGCGTCAGCTAGCAGCATGCGCTCCTCGTCTCCTGGCCGGCGTTGTCGCCGCTTCCCCACACTGCTCCGTCCGTCTCTGCGGCTGCAAGGTGCAAGAATCCTCCAGGCATGCCGGCATGGGCCTCACTCTGCGTATTGATTTCAGTTTCCATCGCCTATCCAAACGTTGCGGCCTTTCCTGCACCCGAGCACAACGCTATCCAAACCAAACTGAAAGCAGTCGCCGCCGCTCGCCGGAGAAGGAACCGACGACGTATCTCCTGCTCCCAGGGCGACCCAAACCCTACCACAAGGCGACGAGCCCCCCTGCCCCTTCGCCAGCCCATGCCAAGCTCGCGCCTTCCCCCGACCCCTCACCCGGGGGCATGATCCGCTGCAATGGAGGACCCGGTCCTGTCGTCCGCCGCACCTGACACTCTCCTCCCCCCTTCCCCGCCCGCGCACCCACCGGAGGAGGAGGGGGAGGGCTGGGTGCTCGTGCTGGCCAACGAGGTCGAGCGGCCCCACGCGCCCAAGGTCATTCACTGGGCGACCTGCAGCAGGAGCTCGCGCGCCTCTGGAGCCTCTCCGCCGCGCTCCAGCCCGTCGGAGACCGCAAGGTACGGTGCACTTCGCCGCGCGCCTCGAGTTCGCGCTACAGGTATTTGTAAGCGGGCTCCTTGCTCGATTCCTTGCAAATTGCTCGGATCCCCTGTTGTGCCCTCTATCATTCGATTATCAACGGATCTTGGCGATTCTCTTGTCGGTCCTCAATTGGGAAGATCGGATTCGTTTTCCCAACCTTTGGTTATGCTTGGGATGTAGAGAAGAGAGAAACCCGCATTCCCAAATCTTGGCTACGCCTGTCCTTGAACTGATTGGACAGTGTCCATGGAGTCATTCTCCATGTATTTTGCTCTTGTTACTTGTGTGTGTATACCAGAATGTTGCAGACTTGTAACGTAATGTGTATACCAGAATATTGCAGACTTGTAATGTAATGCTGTTGGTCGACAGGCTAGGCAGGCGTTTCTCGAGCAAGACAATGAGTTGGCTGAAATGAGGCAGAGACTCCAAGAGCAGACTGAAGATGCGCACGAAGAAATTGTGTTTCATTATTATGTTTCATTTTTTTTTTGTTTTTCATTTTGTCTACTTTAGTCTTTAGGAACTAAAATTGTCAATTTCAGTTCAATTTTCTGGTTGTCAATTTCAGTTGTAGTCTTATGTTTTATTTTTCGTTTTTCATGATAATTTGCTACATATAAATTTCATTTAAATTTTCTAGCTGTCAATTTTCAGTTTCATTTTTTAGCTATATTGTCATTTTCAGTTTTAATTTTTGTTTGTTATTTAATAATTTACCCTTTTGACAGCTTATGCAATACTTGCCTCCTAGGTTGCAGGTTATACGGTTATCTTTCTATCATCAGTTCAGTTTCAGTATAAGTTAAGTTCCTGCTTTTAGTACATGCTCTTGTTGCTTTTTTGGATAGAAGTTCAGTTTTACATTTTAGTTTTCAGGCTATGCTTCAGTGTATCTCCATGTGGCCTGTTTCATCTGCAGGACAGCTCCATAGTGGCTTCAGTGGCCTGGTGTTCTGCAGCGAGTTGGCTCAGCAGCTGGTAACGTGGATCCTTTTCTTCAGCACTATTGTTTCTATAAATTTGAATTACTATATTATCTTCATGATGTGTGTCATGTCAATGTCCTAAGGAATATGTCGCCTTCTAAGTTCAGCTTAAATATATTTAGAATATGTCAACAGTCTTTCAGTTTTTTGTACTTCTCATGATGGTTTTAGTTGATGTTCCTCTTATGCTCTACAAGATACATATTGTCCAACCCTTGTTCCTAATTTGCAACAGTATGCTAGTTAAAAATTATAATGTTCACTTTAGGTCAGATGATGTTAGAATATGTAATTTTTTTATTATTAGTCTATTACGAAAACTAGAGTTATGGCGGCAGACCCTTGAGTCTAAATGTTTTAGATTGAGCAGAACTAAAACCGAATACATGAGATGCAACTTTGACGGAGTTGTACAGGAGGAGGGAGATGTGAGTTTGGAAGGTCAAGTAGTGCCTAAGAAGGATACCTTTCGGTATCTGAGATCGATGCTACAGAGGGATGGAGATATTGATGCGGACGTTAGCCGTAGAATCAAAGCAGGGTGGATCAAGTGGCGACAAGCTTCTGGTATTCTCTGTGACAAGAGGGTACCACAAAAGCTAAAAGACAAGTTCTATAGAACGGCGATTAGACCGGCTATGTTGTATGGAGCATAATGTTGGCATACAAAGATTCAACATGTTCAATAACTGAGTGTTGTAGAAATACGTATGTTGCGATGGATTTGCGGTCACACATGAATGGACCGAGTTCGGAACGATGATATACGTGATCGCCTAGAGGTAGCACCAATTGGAGAAAATCTTGTCTAACATCGGTTGAGGTGGTTTGACCATGTCCAAAGGAGACCTCCAGAGGCACCAATGCATTGTGGAGTCCTAAGCCAAGCTAATAATATGAGGAGAGGTAGAGAAAGACCGAAATTGACATGGGGGGAGGCAATAAAAAGATATTTGAAAGCTTGTGATATACCTAGAGATCTATGTTTAAATAGGAGGATTTGGAAAGCAGCTATTGAAGTGCCTAAACCGTGACTTGGGGCTCTTGGTAGGTTTCAACTCTAGTCTATCCCAACTTGCTTGGGACTGAAAGGCTATGTTGTTGTTGTCGTCGTCTCCGTCAGGTTCAGTACTATTTAGTTGCAGCAATTAGGTTCTGGTTCAGGTTTAGTTCAGTTTATTAGTCTTACTCCTGTCTACTGAGTAAAGGTTCAGGTTCAGGTTCAGTTTTGATTTTCATGATAAGTTGCTGCATATAAATTTCATTTAAATTTTCTAGTTGTCAATTTTCAGTTTCATTTTTTTGGTAGCTATGTTGTCATTTCGGTTTTAGTTTTTGTTTCCTATTTAATAATTTACCCTTTTGGCAGCTTATGCAATGCTTGCCTCCTAGGTTGCAGATTATACAGTTATTTTCTAAGTGGTTTAGTTTATACTTAGTTCTTTTGATGTAACATGACAGAAAGTTGAAGCCGCTGGAATTCCCCACTTCTGAATTTTTCACCCCCCTGCTTATTATCAAAATGGAGGCTACTGCACCTGGACGGTTTGTGCTAGTGCTCGCGGTTTGCAGCGTCCATATTGTCACCTGCAACACCACTCCTAGGAACCAAACAGATCGACTGTCGCTGCTTGAATTCAAGAAGCCGATCAGTTTGGATCCACAACAAGCATTGGTTTCTTGGAATGACAGCACTCATTTCTGCAATTGGGAAGGTGTCATGTGCACGACGAGGAGTTCGTCATGTCACTAATCTTGACCTTGCAAATCTGAGGTTTTTAGTCGGGCAAATATCTGCTTCACTTGGAAAC